CGCTCGGCTCGGTTGACACCACTAGTTACTTGTAAGAAAATAATAATCTATTCAAAATATTTTAAAAATTAAAATAAGTCTTAATTTAAGTTTTAAGCTTAACAAGCGAACCCTGATAACATCTAAATTGTGTACACAAACTTGAAATTAGTATATCATAAATAAGAATCCCTCATAAGGGCCATATTACATTACAAAATGTTAATTGGGATCTGACCCTTGGCCACAAATCCAACTTATTACCCAGGATCGACAGCCCCGATTAGGATTTACTTTCTCGATTAGAGGTAAGCCTCTCAATCCGTCAATTGTAGCCGATAGTTTCTTGAAAATGTGATCGAATTTAATGTTGTAACGTGTTGCGACTTACTTTTTTAATGTAATGTAGTGATATGTCAGAATTTAAGATGGTGTTTGGTGGAGATTANCAAACCGATCAAAACGGTTTGGTTTCACAATTTATCAAAAACCGCAAAAATCGGACCGCTTACACCCCTAACACAGGCTTTGTTCAAAACAAATTGAGATGGAGAATAGCTCATCGCCTTGTGATATGTTTACATGAGCAATGATCTTTCAAACACGGGAGTACTTACCAATGACATGACATATCAATTAATAATGGTCCACCAATTATATACGAATGACGGGATTTGGCCTGATCAAGCATGTCAAACTCACACGTCGTGTTTTGAGGCGGCCTTCATTTTGGGCCTTGGTTTTGTTCTCAGGGAAGCTAATCGAAGTGATGATAGAAAAGTATCAATAGAGAGCATGTTTTGCTAAACTTAGAGCTCCTAAGCCAAACTTGATTAACACAACAAGAACTCAACCCGTATGTCAAGTCGAATCCTTAAATTAAGATTTGTGCAATTAAGTACCAAGACAAAACTTGGTTCTAAACCATAATTTTTTAATAGAATTTTTACTTAAAAAATCAGAGAACAATGGTTAGTATGATCAAATAGTCCGTATGTAATATGTGGTGTGATAACACAACTATAGCTTGTACGATATCGAGGATTCAAATAGTTGTTAGTTGCGATCACTCTCGTAACCATTTTTTTAATGCTAAAGTACTTAGAATAATACTGCTTGAACAAGGGCTTTGACAAGATTTGTTGACCGGTGATGCGTGGCAACATTTGTATGGATACTTTTTTTTCGAACTGTCCAATAAACAAATGACATGTAATGTAATGTAATGTAGCGATATACCAGAATTTAAGATGGTATTTGGTGGAGATTAAAATTGAATTTTTAGTAAATTGTGATAGAAGTTTTTGAAATGTATAGTTGAAAAGTTGTGGGACCCATAAAAGATGTGGTTAATATTGATTGTTTGATTTTGACTTGGATTAAAATCAAATTTTAATCCGAACCAAACAAGGGCTAAATAAAATTTTGCAAATAAGATAGTCAAAATGGACAACCATTAACAAATCTTAACTCAATAAATCCTACCCTTCCCTTCTTTTTAAGTTTTCGCAACAAGCTCCAAAAAATTGCTATGAAGGTGAAGGATAAAGGGCTTAAGTGCTATATATGTATCCTTTCAAATTATATTTGGCATACTCAAGCCAATGTTTTCGGCCCTTCGGAAAATTTTATTGGGCGAACTTACCAGGCTGAATCTTATTTCCACAATCTAATTGCGCATGTTTGGCAAGACTTAAATTATAATATAAGCTAACAAAATATACTCTTAATTCACATATATTGCAGAATTTATGATATACTAATTTCATAAATAACGTCTAAAATGTGGGATTGGGTAAGGTGGGGAAGATGAAGAGTAATTTACGACCAGTTATTTAGGTAATTGTGACTAGTTAATTTATAATTTATGATCGAAAAATAATTTATGATTTATAAAAATGTGTGATTTATGACCAGTACATGATAGTGGCCATAAATTTTATGTTACAGTGAACTTGACCTATTTAATTAACAATAAAGGGTCACAAAATTTTATTAGCGATCACATGATTTTTCAAATTTTTTTCACAAGTTTCTTAAATTTGAAAGTGTATCTTCAAATTATTGTAATTATGCAATTTTCCCTTATATTAAATGCATAGCTCAAGAGCTTACATCGGGTGTGTTTGATGAATATTATTAAGAAAAAAATGTATTTTAAATAGTGATATGATAAGAAATATGTGATTAAAAATTAATGAAAAGTTATTGATGTGATGAGAAATATTATTTTATCGAAAAATATGTGATAGAAAATGAGTTTTGAAAGAAGAGTAATGCTATGTATCACCACTAGAGTTGTAACTCCAGCCTATGTGACCCTAAATGATAGGTTAAATGAAAGGTAAAATTAAATAACTTATTTAATTTCACATATCATTTAATGGCACATTAACTCCACATACACTGGGGTTAGTGGGGTTAAAAAAGAACGTGTGTTATACAGAAACTTCACAATCTTCAATACTATAGTTGACCTTTATTCACTGCCATGCATTGAACCCAACATCTTCAAATTTTTTGTTGTCTTCATTTAATATATTAATAAGTACGAAAGATTGTATTTGAAAGTACCTAAAAAGGTGCTCATATGCACAGACCCTTATTAAAAGACCCCTTCGAAGAGTTGCCTATTGGAATATGAAAGGGCATTTGTGGTTATATAACAATCTCTCATTGACTAATGCAACGCAAAGAAATAAAAATGGGAGAGAGGTCTAATTTACCAGCAAGATTCTATAAGGTTATTTTGCCTTCAACCACTACCCAACAAAGACTAGTAAGTGACAATTTGCCTTCAATTTTAGGACTTTTATGTGTTTTCCAATTCAATTTGTTTCTTGTAATCCTTAAAGTTCCATTTTTCTTGACTTCATTGATACTAAAATCGAGTTGTTGAATATATTATGTGTCTGTGCAGAGAATCCCGAACAAATTTGTCGAAAAATATGGTAATGAACTCTCTAGCATTGTCAAACTTACAGACCCTATTGATAGCACTTGGTGTGTGAGGTTGGTGAAGGTGGAGGAGACGATTTGGCTTCACGATGGCTGGGAAAAGTTTGTCGAGGACCATTCTATCGGTTATGGCTACTTTTTACTCTTCAAATACAAAGGGAATTCATGCTTCAATGTGCATATATTTGATTTAACGGCCACTGAAGTTGAATATCTTGATAATAATAGTAATTTTGAAGGAACTAATCGCGTTATTCAGAACTTTACTCATAAACGAGATATTTCCTCTTCAAGAAATGAAGGTGGGATCAATGCAACACATGGTAGAAGCCATGGAGTCAAAAGAGGTAACAGTGATGCAACTAAGAACTCAAAATCTCACCGTTTCTATCGAACACGAAGCAAATGTAACATAGAAGATGGGAGAGTGGAAATTAATGAGAATTTGAATAAATCAAGTAAGTTATTCACATTAAATTTTGCTTACTATTTTCTTTTTTTGCCTTTAGAAATGATTTATTGATCATCCTCTTATGTAGGAAATTTTTCGCCTATAAATCCTTCATTTGCAGTTGTTTTGAAACCGTACCATCTGTTAAAAAGTACGTTGGTAAGCTATTGAGCCTTATGTTACTTTGTGAATTTTTTAGTATCCTATTATGTTACTCTTTTGAGTTTATTATGTTATATGCATAGCTTTTTATTTGACCATAACATGGCTCGACTTTTCTTATTTCTGAAGTACGTGCCAGCCTCATTTGCTGAGCATCTTCCAAGCAAGCCGGGGTACATTGAACTTCATGATTCTAATGGGAAGAAGTGGCTGGTCCGTTTCACTCGAAACTTAAAGCTTAATGAGAACAATTTATGCAGTGGATGGAAGAAAGTCGTAAAGGAAAAAAGTCTCAAGGTGGGAGATACATGTGTTTTTGAACTGATCGACATCAATAAACTCATGCTAAAGGTTTTCACATTTTGCAACACGAGCATAGTCCGAATCTAGCAGTCGACTAGTTAGAATGACAGATGAATGATTAGGAGCACATTTTCCTTTTGTTTGAAGGGCGATGACCTCAACAACGTATTTGTTCTTGAGTTGTTCAATCTTGTTTACGTCAAGTGCAATATTTGAGGCTAATATTTCGGAATTCAATGACGATCTAAATTTTGTTTGGTCCATAATCTTCGAACATTGCAAGCTATGACTCGATATAGGGAATAACTCTATGATGATACATAAATAACTGATCGAGCTTATCAAACTCGTTATCATGTTATTTTCAGTTGGGTCTCGATTTTTCTCTCGAGGAAGTTAAATGAAGTTAGAAAAACACGCAACCAATTAGCATGTATCAAATAAATAGATGTGGATCTATATGTTTAGGGACGGAGAGACGAGTTGTAGCCATCACACGACTTCACAAAACGAAGGACACTATCTAAAGTAAAATGCGACTACACAGGCAGTACAAACATGATCCTAACAAAAAGAAAATATGAAATATAGAAAAGACTTTGTACCGCCCAGACGCCATCTCCTACTGTTTGCATTTGATTTTGATTTTGAGGATCAACGTGAAATGATTATGTTTTTTTCAGGTGGAAAGCAATCAATTCACGGCAAATCTCGCCCTGATAATTCAATCAGTTGTAGGAAATAAAATCATGGGCGTTTTGAGTAATGAATATTTTTTGTACAGGAACTGATGGCGAGGGGGATTGTTAAAAACTACTGGCCTCGCTCTTTAAAAGTTATCGCAATCTGGTTCTTCTGTGTTGTTACTTTTTACTGTCTATTCGAAATGGCCCTCCGTAATTCTAATTCTCACAAACCTACTACTGTTTCAGGTAATTATCGGTTTTTTTAATTGATTTACCTCTCTTTTAGTTAATTAATTAATGTTGAGATTGATGTGAATTGTTGACAGATTTTGTAAATTTTATGCTAATATGATTCTTTGACGGTTTGCTTGCTACAGTTTGGGTATATAAATTTTTCTTTTAGGTATACTGATTAAATGACTTCAAAAAATTCAACTGGTAAAGTGCTTGGTCCCCTCAAATAAAATAATTTAGAGGATTAAAAATGATCCGAGTCAAGCTGAAGCAAGCTTTACTCCGCGAGTATTGAGTAAAAGCTAAAGCTTAGTAGAGCCATACCGGTCGTGTCCTTCAGTTGGTTTATCTGTCAGTGAGAGTTTACTTTTGCTCATTTGTAGCCCAATTGAATATTATTTATGAAGTTCGACGATTTTGATTATCTTTTGATCAATTTTCTAAATTTATTGTTCTGATAATTCAGAGAGTTTGTATGATCTAACAGACATGATCTTTCCACATTGAGACAAGAATATGTAACTTCTGTAGTTCTGTAGTATGTGAGGGTTACGCGAGTCTCGGGCTTTAACCCAATACATGCTGAAATCCAAGTAAAAATAGGGATTTATTTTATGCTGACGTAGAATGTTATTGTGGAAACCCAATAATGACTACACTATTTGGCAGTCTGGAATTGTGGCCTCAGAATTGTGATTGGATGAATTTCATCCCTATTTGAATTTGATTTAACGAACTTCAATTTCAACCCTCACAACTTAATATCGCTAAATGCAGACTTGCTGTAGGAAAGGTTTTTTCCCATCTGATAACTGGAAGCCATTAACTATTATGACTTGGAAATATGGAAGATCATATATTTGTGGATTACTCTCAGGGCCAGATTGAAGGGTTTTTTGTAATATGTTTCATTAATTTATTTGCCAAACGCTCAGTTCAGTGTTCTTGTTCCTTGGTATTTCATATATGTAAAAGAACTCTAGGTGGATTACAAATTTCTTGGAGAATGAGTAGTAACGTTTGTATTTACAACAGAGTCGTCCATTTCGAATGCTGAGCAGAGGTCAAGAATATATGCAAAAATGGCAAAAGATTTGGATGAGAATGGAGCTGTTTTTCTGAAACAAGGAGAAACTTCTCAGTCTTTATCGCTATCAGATCTTTTTACTCTGGAGAATGGCACTGTAACACCCGTGCTCAAGGTAAATATTAAAACTTGAGTAACTTCAGGCATTTTCAATGTAATGCCAGCCTACACTTTCGGTTGGATGATGAATGGTTTCCTGTTCTGTAGGCTGCAAGTCCTCCAGTGCGAGCAAATGTTTTACATCTGAGCCCAGAGTACTCTGTTCCAATCTCGTGAGTTGCATTTCAGCTTACATTCTTCATAAATTACTGTGTCATATAAAAGAAACAAGAAAGCCTTTGTGTGATTGAAGCAAGGAGGAAGCTGGCCTCTTTAGTAGGGGATTCATACGTGCATGTTTGTTTTTCTTCATTACAATGCTTTTGCTGTAACAAGTGATGAGATATTCCAGAGGCTTGAGCTTCTGCCTACTTCCTTTAGTTTCATGCATATTGGTACGAGTGGGAGGCTGTGCAACTGCAACTGGAAGCAGATTAAAGGAAAGGATTTAGTCTAGGTTATCCCAAATTCATGTAATGGATTTTGAGATTATAAGTCGATTTTATATATATGTTGGTTGAGTGGACTTGAAGTAGAGATTTACTAAAAACCTTAAGCCCTGGGGTGATTGCTGAGAAATTTGGTGATGAAATAGTATCTGAAAACTAATTGGCCATGGGAGACATAATTCCAGGCTCACCAACTAGATATGAACAAGTTCTAATACCTTTGCTGTATAAAGATTTATAATCAAAGAAAGTTCACTTTGGCACAACCAAGAAATTTAAATGATTGTGGAACAAATCAGAGCAAGGAGCAATAATCACATAAACTAGGAGATAAACATGAACAATGGTTGAAATCGACCTTCACATAATTAACTAGGATGCTATTATTGAAGCATTCATCTCAAAACAGTGTTGACATCGGGGAAAGTTGTTCAAGCTCTCTGGACTTTTTGATGTAGTTAGAGTCACCTACATGTGTAGGAAAACATTAAACTTCTACCAGTTATTTATATTTCAGGAAACAATTTAAATTTTCTATTGGGATATTTTATGTCCTTGGTAATTACCTTCCAAGGTTTGCTCTGACAGAAAGGGTATATGTCAAGTTTTGATGCTATTAAATTTGAATCCTTGCCTATGCGTCTGTTCTTGTTATTGTTATAATTTATGAGCAATGTAGTGCGACATGTAATGTAATTAGGTGGGGTTTATGATAAATAGCATATGGTTACCTCATTTTTCTTATTACATAATTGAAATGATCAATTTCCTTCTTACCTTGATCTTTCTGCAGAGAGGCTGTGAAAAGTATATTTTCTCCATACTTCAATAAAGGTAAAGACAACAATGCTTCATAGCTACCACTTGATAACAATATTTCCTTTTTATTTTGGTGTTTAACCTTGAGCTACACCAGTGTTCTCAGAATCTTTTATTTTAAGCTATGAAACTTCATGGGCATGAAAAGAAATTCTTCATTTGTGCATCTTTTCCTGTTATCTGTATGATAATTTGTTCTTTGCTTAGCAATCTGGTTTCAGAACTCCAGCATGTACCATTTTAGCATGTTCCACGCATCACATCACATAGCTCCTGTGCCTGCCACAGAGGAGGAGGTAATCATACTGTCGGCCCAAATCTTCTAGTTTCCTTCTTCTACTCTTACCAGAACACAGATCTCACTCATGCACAACCTTCTTGATTTTCAGATTGAAGTTGAGGCTAGTGCTGTAAAAGTAGTTGCAGAGGATGTCTGCCCGTTACATATTATCTTAGATCGGGTGGTTTTGACTTCAACTGGTGTGCTAGTAGGTTGTTGGCAGGTTCTGTTTTAATCTCTCTCAACTCCATTAGCCTTCTTATGTACAATGTTCATACCGTATTGGGACTTAAGATGGGATGTAGGCCCGAAGGTCTTCAGATGGCCTAATTAACATGCAAAATATCAAATATATTGTTTCTTTAGATATGAGTTACTAGCGGCAGCTAGGTTGATATATGCCTATCAGTATAATTTTCACTCCCTTAGACCCTTATTTCAGTTGCCAGATTGCCTCAGCCTCAGGTACCTTTCTCTCAAGAACAGCGGCGATGCTTATTTATTTTGGGAAGTTTTCCCTTTTTTATTTACTTTTATTTTTTTCTGTAATTTGGATGTTACATTTGAGTCTGCCATTGTAAGCCATCAACTCCTTATAGTTTGGGGTTTATGATAACCTGTGTTACATATTGAAGCTGGGATGGTATGTAGGGGTTGTTTGACAAATCTTTTGATCTCAACTTTTTAAGCTTTTGCAAGCAAGCATTTAATTAACAAGATGTCACACATTTGATGGCAAAGAGTTTGTTTAATTTTCAATAACAAGAAATGAAGATGACACACAAAAGAGCATTTTTTTTTTTTCCTTTTTACCATCCAATAATTTAAATTTCTACCTGTTGATGGCTTTAGTTGACTTCTTTCATGACCTACTTTTTGCTATTTTTCTTCATCATAACCTTGTTCTTTACGAAGCTTTTACTTTTACATATTACCCTTCATAAAGTAAAAGTTCAAATGTCAATCTCAAAGTAGTAATCGATGTTAGATAGGAATATTTCGAGTCTGTTGTTTGTTCTAGTAAATTAGGCTGCTTATGGAATAGCTACTTTGGCAAATTTGTTGAGATTTGTGCATGACTGGATTTTTTAAATGTGAGTGCATAAATGATTATCGAATCTCTTACTGATAGTTTCTTGCCTCTTCTTGTCCTCTATAGATGGTCTCTGGTACAGATCCAGTAACAATTCGTGATAAACTTAGAACTGCTCTTCCACGTGCTCCAGAAAAGCAACTTGTAAGGACCACATGGAATTCTCTCTCTTATTTCTCTCCAATCATGCTAACAATATTCCTTGTCAAGTAAAAGTAGTAGTTTTGGGAATTGAAAATTTGGTCACCCAATAGATGCTTGTTCCCTTTGTTATCATATTAATAAATTTTATATTTCCAGCTATATTTATGCTACTATCAATGTGTCTTGATCGCTTATTATTCGCATTTTGAATTTTATAATGCTAGAAGCCATGCAATGTTGGACAAATTTACAATTAAGATTTTGTACTGACTGTACATGCAGTTCTGTAGTTCACAACAGTTATCCATTCATTTTCATACGTCTTTTATCAGTTCCTTGCTTTTTCACAAAATATTATGTAAACATTATCCAGTTATTATTGGAAATACTTTAACTGTGACATTTCCTAATACTAGTAGAGTCAAAATTCTAATCTGATTAGGACTGGAAGGTCTACGCGCTTGTAAATATAATTGTAGGCTTTTAACCACATTCATAGGTATTTCAAATAGGATTAGGATCCTGCGCGTAGACTTTGACTTCTATTTCATAGCATTTGGGTTCTTTCTTTTACCCTTCATCTATGTTCTTCTTTAGATTACCTCTTGGAGCCTAAAAGCTTGTGTCATCAAGCCTAAAAATGGTCCCGTTGTCTTTATGTGATTTTTTGTTTGCCGTTGGTTCTGTGTTACAATCAAAGTTAGTCAGTTGATTTTGGAAATCTGAATATCCTTATCTAAAAATTTGATTGGCCATTATTAGATGGGTAGCATTACATGTTAGTTTCATTGACAAAAGTTAAGGTGTTGCAGTTTTCAACAATTTCCATGAGGTTTTTTTGGTGCAATATCTTCTAATCTTGCAGTGATTTTCTGCTACAGTATGATAAGGCAATGCTCCACACTTCATTTGCAAGGCTACTGGGTCACCCTAACAAGTTGTCTGAGGTATAGCTCAGAGTACTTTGTGATCTGTGTCTGGAGATTTCTCACTTCTCACGTGTATTAGTAGCTTGTCCTG